ATTAGTCATTAGTTGCTAGAACCTTTCAGTTGCTTAGTAACTAATTAGTTATTTAGTTACTTAGTCACTTAGCTGCTTAGTCACTTAGTAATTAGTTACTTAGTAATTATTAGTCATTAGTTGCTAGAACCTTCTGATTGCTTAGTAACTAATTAGTTACTTAGTTACTTAGTCACTTAGTTGCTTAATGCTTAGTCACTTAGTTATTTAATTACTTAGTTGCTTAGTCACTTAGCCACTTAGCTCATAGCTATATATAAACTCTGCTAAATTCTTCAAGTGCAATTAAGCAACAAACACTTCTCTTCTCTTTAATATTGTAAACACATCTTGGAATTCTTTAAAAACAAAAACATAAGGATAGCTTTTCTTGTTATTACTTTAATAAACAGCTTTTGATTATAAATGGTATTGATACTCTTTCTCTAAGTTAATTCCTACAGGCAAGATTTATTCTCTCTTAGTAAAATAAAGTAAAATTATTAGTATTGTATTACCTTTTTCAAACTGCCTCAGAGAAGGGTATAATTTTTTAACAAATGTCTAACAGAAGCTATACTTTTCTCTTGGACATTGCATATACTTATAAGAATTCCTTATGCCATATCATTATTATAGTGTAAAATTAAGAAGGCTTTTACTTATAACACTGTATTGACTTTTTTAACTAAAAAAAAAATAATAATATTACATCTCTTCTAAGCTCTAACAATAATTATACCTCTCAACAAATATAGCAAATTATACATTACAAAAGATCATATATAAACTATACATATTTATGTTTATGTAAAATAACAGATCAATTACATTTATGTCTTAATATCTGTTCACCAATTGGACAAGTTATTAGAAAATCAATATATAGTTAACACTCTGAATTAATTATAGCATTTATTTCATTTTTCCTTATACAAACTTTATTTATTTGTTGTATAATCTGTTTATCAATTCTAATTTAATAGTTTGCATATGCTTGTTTTTGTTTTACTATTTCATATTTTTGTATAATGTAAACAAATCTATATATAGAGTCTAGTAGCAATTGGCATAATGGAAATTGGTTTTAATTGATTAGCATTTATGATTTATATGTAGACATTATACTAAACTAAAAACTGTCATATAATGTATCTCAATAAATTGACCAATAAAATTATAATTTAATATTATATGTCTTGGCTAAAGAAGTATTGCCATGAAGCATAGCAGGCTTTCATTCTAATTGGCTAATTTTTGTAGATCATCTGATAACATTACAAATCTAATTGGCTAATAAAAAACAAGCTCAAAGTAAAAAATTTTTAGAAATTATTAGACAAAACAACATTTTTAAACTATAAGTTGAATTTACAATTACAATTTTTAACCTATTGAACTTTATAGTTATTATCAAATGCATATTTGGTTAGATTTAATAAAAAAAAATTTTTAAATACATATATAAATAATTTTTAGTAACAAGATCACTTTATAACTAATATATTATTTTATTTAATAAAGAGATAAAGAATGAATAGTGTAAGTAAATTAAAAAGAGCTGTCAACTATTAATAAAGTTAATACATGCATATAGCAGTATAAAAACAAAAAAACCCAATTATAGAACATAACATATAATTGTACAAATTCTAAGTATATTCTATATTTAATCTAATATATTATAAATAACTTTTAAAAACTTAATCGAATAATCTATATTAAGAAAAAAATATTGAATAAATGAACTGTAAATATTGTTGTTTGAATTACTATTTTCAAGTTTTTTTTAAAAAAACTTAATACTTATTAGTCATGATATAAATTATCTTGTTGATTGCTGAATTACCTTAATCTATAAGACAAAACGTGCATACTGTTTTTAACTTCTAGATTAATTAACCTTTTCTTAGATTAATTTGATATATTATAGAGTATAAAGTGTAGTTTTAGAATTTATATGCCATATTCTTGAACAATTTGTTTTTATAGCTGCTAATTCATTTGAAGTTAGCTGTTATATGCTATATAATATATGAAGATACATTTGTAATTAACCAATTAGAATTAATGTCTGCTATGCTCTGTCATAAAGGACACTTGAGGCCTTTCACAATCTATACCAGTTTTTGATTTATGCTCTCAGATATACTATATAGCAAAAGGTATACTATATAAGAGTCTTGTGCAAAGTTATATTATAAATCAATTTGTTTATATTATGTTTATAAATTTCTGCTTAGTAGTATATCAGATCTTTTAGCAAATATACAGATAATAGATCTGATAACATATCTAATATAAATCAAGGGAGTATCAGTAATATAAATTAGGTCTGCATAGTAGGTGCAGCACATATAGATTTAAATTTGTGCTTTCTGTATATATAGTATGCATATAATTTTTTTTTGTAATTTTTTTGAGTTTGTGCCAATAAAATTTTTTTGAATTTATAATACTAAGAGGTACTATTAATGAGAAGCACTGTTATAAGAAGTACTATATAAGGTAAAATACAGTATATAAATTGTATAAAATTTATTGGCTCATATTGTTATATATGCTTAGCTTAAAGAAATACTATATTTTATACAAGAATAAGGATTATAATCTGCATATTTTTTTTAGTTTATTCATTTATCTGTTACATTTATCAGTACTATATTACATGTTCCACCTATATTTATTTGCTATAGTATTTTTATTATATATCAAATCATTATATATATGATTATTATACATAGGGTCTTTATGCATAATTTGTTATAATAGCATTAATTTTAAAAGTATATTGAATTTAATGATAAATAGTTTTACAGTTGCATAAAGGTAAGATCTAAAAAATAGAAAGTTAATATATTAGTAACTATGATTTGTATAAAAAAGCATATAAAAAGATCTTGTAAAGGCAGATTTGCCTTATATACTTCAGAAAATAAAACAATATCAAAAATTTAATAAAACTGAAAAAAGGTCTTAAAAAAATCTTGGCCTCTGTTCTGTTCATAATTGCCAAATAGAACCAAATCAATATCACAAAATTACAAAATATGCTTTAAAAAAAGCAAAAGAAAAAGGCATGTTTGATTAATATAATTATTTAGAAGTTGAAAAGCAATTATACTATTCTTATTACTTAGAAATTGTCAAGCCTGATTGTTATAATAAGTCATTAATTAGCATTAATAAGCAAAATAATATAGTCATTAAAAAACCATTATTATTTAGTAAAAAGATTATATTAATAACTAAAGTGTTATATGAAAAACAAAAAAAAAAATAACATACTAGAATTAAATTCAGATCAATTTAGAAAATGCTTGAAGATGCTGAGCCACAATTGGTAGAATTCTTTAATAAGCTATACAATGTATTTATTTCTGAAAGATGATCATTTTATAATAGAAAAGAAGATAAAAAAAATAGTTAATATATGTTATTTAATTGCGATAATACATAATAGGCTTATAAATAACCATCTGTTAAAAATCAGATTATATTTAGTAGCATCAAGTGCATTTTGTGATGCAATTGATGCAATGCATAAGATGGGTATTACAGTTTGTTACAAAACTGTTAAAAGCTATAGAAAAAGGTTGTTGCTGCATATCCAGAAAACATTTGAAAATATTTGCTAAGAAAGTAAGTATATTTTTTTTTTTAAAAAAAAAAATTCACCTGAATTCATTTCAAATAAACTAGTTCGATTAATTTAATCTATAAAAGTATAATTCTGTACTCTTATATTTATTTTGTGAGGAACTTATATACACTTTACTTAGGCTATAATACTTTAAAAGTGTAGACATAATGCCATAACTTGTAATTATATTGAGTTATAGCAAAAATGCTGTAACTCAATATAATTACAAATTATGGCATTATATCTACATTTCTAAACTACTTTTAACCAAAATCCTATAACTATAGTATGCAATTATCCTAAATGTATTAATTAAAATTTTATATTAAATAAACAGTTTTTTTGTATTCAATATTGATAATTACTATAATATACATGAAATAAGACATTCTAATACTATAACTCTTTCTGATTTAATTCATTTTGCAACATGTATAAATAAAAAAATTACACAATTTGCACTAGTTTTAATAATCTATAATGGTAATTCAGTTCATAATTCTGCCAATATCAATGCATTCTTAATTTGCCTATATCTAATTAAGTAGTATTATAGAATTTTTGACTATTTATATATATATATAAAATTAGTAAACTATTTTACAAAAAATAGAGCTTATTGATTTTGATAAAATTGACTTTTAACTGTTTATTGCTATAATGATATTATAAAAAAAAAGAAAAAAAAAAACTATAGAAGAAGTGTAATTAGTTGATTTTAGAGAAAGCTAGCTTTATTTCTTAAATGATTATTTAAATGTACTAAAAAATATTTTTTTAGTTAAAGATATTGAATGTACAAATAATTATATAATGCCTATTATTGCTAACTGGCCTGGGCAACTTTTTATACAAAAGACATTAACCAACTTGCATTAACAAAATAAAAATATATTACTATTTATAAATATCTTTAAATCTATATTAGGTCTGCTTTACTTTTCATTGAATAGTCAGAAGCAAGTTTTAAAAGTTTATTATTCTTTTTTTAAATTGCTTTTTCATAAAGTTTTTGAAAAGTGCAAAAAGACTCTTGCAAAAAAACTATAATTATAAAGAATAAATATTTTTTTAGAACTTGCTTACCAAAAATAAATAAAAATAAAAATAAAAATATTAGAAAAATTTAGAACTTTCTGTAAATACATAGAGTATAGAATGTTAGTTGATCTTCTAAGTAATGTAATTTCAACAATCTTAGATGTATATGCAGTCCTCTTTAGTTCAGGCTCTTTCAATGAATATATTGAAATGGTTTTCTGAATATGAACCTTTGCATTGTATTAAAAATAAAAAAACTACAATAAGGCATTTTTAGTATTCTTGTTGGACATCTTTTATTGGCAAGAAAAAGAACATCTAATATTAGAAGTAATTAAGATGTTTTTAGTAAATTTTAATAATTATTTTATTGAAAACTTACATAATAAAATATGAGCAAATATGTCTTCTAGCAATAGTATTGAAACTATTATTAAACAGGCTTGTATGTTAGATAAAAAAAAATTAAAATTATCTTTAATAAATAAATAAATAAAATAAAATAAAATAAATAAGAGAACTTACACTTATTATATAAATATAGTCCTTATTTAAAGCCAGTTATTTGACAATTACAAATTCTAAAATAATCAATTATTTGACAATTGCAAACTCTAAAATAACTAATTGTATAAAGTTTATATTTTGATTACTTAAAACTTGTAATTGTCAAATAATGGATTCTAAAAGGGCTATATTTATGTAATAAGTGGAGTCTTCTAACAAAATAAAATAAAAATAAAAAATAATAATAATCTAATTAGTATAATAATAAATTAATAGATATAAACAAGAAATCATTATTTAAAGAAATGTTTTATATAAAAAAAAGATATTTATATATGCTTTTCAATTTAGAGTATTTGGCAAATAAAACATCAATATTCTTGCTAGATTATTTTCACAAAATATTTTAGCATATAAAGATAATTGATAGTATAACAGATAGTTTATAAAAACAAATTAAAAAAAAAAGTTTTAATATACAAGCTTGTTATTTTAAATGAAGAAGTCAACATCATATTCCTATTTACAGGTTATAGTATGAGAGATCCTTCTTTACAAAGTCTTTGTGTTAATTGCCATAATTTATTGAATGAAAAGGATAGTAATGTTGTTCTGATCTGCAGTTATAGTTTTTATCAGGACTGTTATTATAAATTAGAATATGAATGCTGATACTATAAACAGTACTATAAGAATAGAATATATAAAAATGTTAATTCATTTCTAAAAAGACTTGAAAAAAGAGTTAATACAATTATTGAAGATAATGGAATTAAAAAATCCCAGAATTCAAATAATTTAGAAGATATAAAAGAGCAAAAAGTTGCTCAAGAAAATAATGTAATAAATTTACAATATGTATTAAAGAATATAAGTAAATAGTAACAAAATAAAATATAGTGCACTTTATTAGTTTTATTACCTCTTATAAGCTATAAAAGTTAAAGTAACTACCATAGTGTTCATATTTTGCCTTCTTTTATGTATAAGTCAACTACCCTTACATACTTGATCCTACTTAATCTAAATGTTTTAAAAGATCCATTAGGGTATGAAAAACATATTTAATAAAAAAAATTTTTTTGTTACATAAGTAACTGAAAATCTTGTATATTACAATAAAAATTCTATATGGATTTATGATACATTAATCAATCATGTTCAATCTAATGATCAAAATCAATAGCTAATTAAAACTAATTTCCATTATGCTGTAGCAATTCCTCACTGTTGTTGTTTTCAAAAAAAATTTTTTTAAGTTTTTTTTCTTTTCTTTATAGCTATGCTATTAGTTTTGCAACACACTTTTTTTTACTTTTTATTGCTTTTTATATTGCTGTTTCTTTTTATTTAATGCTACTTAAGGTGTTTCCTATTACTAATTTTACAGAAATCTTTTTTTTTCTTTTAGCTGTTATGTGTCTAAGTGATCATTGAGAAGAGTTCTATTCTTAACTATATCTAAATTTTTTGTTTTAAAAAAAAAACTAAGTTTATTTAAAAACTTTATATTATGAATATGCATTAGGTTTTCTTCAACCTGTTTTAACTAAAAATTAATTTAAAATAATTAACTATAGCATTTATTAAAAAATAGAAAGTGTAATGTTATATTAAAGGAAATATACAACTCTTTTTGCTAATTCTCATAACCAAAATCAGAACAAAAAGAAAATTATAGAAATTACAAAAGCCAGCAAGCAAAAGCACAGTTGTTAACTAAGCAAAGTTAAAGCTAGTAAGAAATTAGATATAGTTTGTTAAAATAGTAGACCAAGTTAATAGCAATATAGTAGTCACTTTTGACTTTTAGAAGAAATTTTACTTTTTGTTGAAAATTTTTAATGAAAAAAAGAAAAACACAAAAACTCTGTACTGCAGATTACACATATGACATATAAAACAAGCTAGACTAAACAGTAAACATAACAAAACAAATAAACAGATGCACAATCTTGCAGATAAATAAATAAACACATGTTAAATATATATAGTAAAGATATAAAAATAATGCAAAGAAGTGTGATACAAAAAGTTCAACCAGTATCTACAAAAATTGACTGATGCAAGAAATTAGAAAAGTATTGTAACATGTTTAATAAATCTGACAGAATACAAAAAGAATTATTAAATAGTTATAAATCAAGAGTTTTAAGAAAAAATAAGGAATTGGTCAGACTAGTTAGCACTGAGTCAGTCTTAGTCTGTATATTTAGAAACTTAATTGAAGTATATAATTACTATAAGTATATATGAATAAAAGACAGCAAGAAACCAAAGAAGAATAGTATAGAGCAATTAAATGAAGACAAAATGAATAAAGAGATATTACTAGAGCAAGAATATGGATGCATGGATTATAGTATGCTAAAAAAGCAAGTAGAGAAGAGTCCAGTAAAGAAAAATAAAGAAGAGAAAGAAAGTAAAACAAAGGAAAATAATCAGCAGAAGAATATAACTAGTAATATAAAGACAAATGAGAAGTATAAAACAGACAAAGAAAAATTAAAACACAAAGAAAAAAAAACCTGAAGTAACTATAAATATTAAATAAATGTAAAAAGAACAAATAAAAAAACAAAATTATACAAATGAGACAATAAGAATGTATAAAGATAATAAGTTAAAAAACGATATCTATACAATGTAAGACATTTTAGTAGAAGTAAGACCAGCATATGTAAGAAAATGATTTCAATTTTATAGTAAAATTAGGTTTATTCAATAGAAAAGTTGTAGTAATAATAAAGCAACAACATTTGCTGTTGAGTTTAGAAATAAGAATAGAAAATCAATAATTAATCAGGCATAGTCAGTGTATTTTAAGAAAGGCAAAACTTGTAGAGTTATTCTAGGTATTTTGATAAAAGAGATATTAGAAAGTAGAGCATTATATAAGGCAATAATTATAAATATTCTAACAACAGCAATAGAGATATTATTATTAAAACAACTAAAAGCAATAAAGGTGAAGGCAGTCTATATTTTAGTAAATAGAAATAAAAACCAATGAAAACTGCATTAGTCTACTTTAAGACAGAAGAAAACTTAATAATGGCTACTAATAAAGAACTGTACTATTACAACACAAGATTAGAGTAATGTAATAAAAGAGTATTTAAGAACATTAAAATTAAAAGAAAAGAAAACAAAAATGTAAAAGAACATTTTGTAAATAGAAGTTCACAGTATGGAAAACACTTGAAAAGTCAAGAAAACATTAAGAATAAAAAGAGTAATAAAGAAAACTAGTAGAAAAAAGATAAAAAAATTAATTAAGATATAATGATAATATGTAGACAAAAACAGTTTATATTAAAGAGTTAAAAAGTAAGCTACAATATGTTCTTAACAGAATATTAAAAAGACTAGATGATATTGAAGAAAAACAATTAGAGAGCTTATTCTCAAATCATTTCTAAAAGTTGTTATAGACATTCTTTAAGAGAAAGTAACCACTTTGTCAAATATAGAGTCAAAGAGCATTAGTGAGAAGTTTGCATATAGTGTAAGCAGATATGACAAAAATGAAAAGAGTATAACAAGTGTTAAGATAGCATGTCACAATATAAATAGAATAAAACATAACAAAATCAAACTAATAACAATAGTTAAGTAAGCAAAAGAAGAAAAAGTTAATAATTTGAGATTAGTAAAAACAAATAGCAATAGTAAAGAACTGAAATACAGTTTAAAGAACAATTATTATAAAGGGGTTTGGTTATAAAATAAAAGTACAAAGAAGAAAGAATTAGGTGTTAGGTTATTAGTGAGCCAAAAATAAAAGAAACATATGAGAGAAATCTGTAGATTTAATAAATATTTAATCAGAGCAAAGTTCTATTTTAAGCAGCTAAAAATAACAATAATAATGATATATATTCTTTCAAGTAACAAGAAAAAAACAAGAAAATTACAACAAAGAATAGTAAATATGTATATGAAGAAAGCAAGTAACTCACAGTTTATAGTTATGAATAATTTTAATTATATAGTAGACAGCAAACTAGATAAGATAAATAGTAGTAAAAATAATTGTATCAGATTGCTTCTACTATATAAATGGCTGATAAGACAGAGATTTGATGATATATACAAAATTTACAACCCAGAATTAAGAGGTTACACTTGGGCAGAATAAGATATACAAATGAGAATTGACAAAATATGAGTTTTAGAAGATTTATAACTAGGATTAGAACAGACAGAAATAATTGATATAGAATTTATAACATCAAATAACTATAACATTGTTAGTGCAATATTAATGTTTAAATACTTGATTCAAACATATAGTGTAGCAGAAATAAAGAAAAAAGAATTAATAAGAACAATTTATTTGTATGATAAGATGATAAAAGAAAATTAGAAAGATTATCAAATAGATTTTAAGAATTACTTATCTAAGAATAGAACACTTAAAGTATTTAAAAAAGTTGAATATAGTACTAATATAAACAAAGTTTGAGATATAATATTCTATACAATAAAAGATGCAGTGAATAGAAATATACTGAAAAAAAAGATAATTTAAAAAAATAGTAACATTAAAAGAAAAAAGAGAATAATAATGCTGTACAAAAAAATAGTAGCACTAAGTAAGCTACTACAGAAGGCTAAGAAGTTGGTTAAGAGAGAAGAAACTGAACTAAACTTGAAAAAAATCAATATAAAGGTAGATAAGATAAACATGAAATATGATCTAGAAATAGGTGATATAAAAGAAGACAGAATAGCAAATCTTGAAGAATAATATCAGTTAATGAAAAAGCAATAGTAGGCATTAAAAATAGCAAAAAGAGTTGAAAAAACCAAGCATACAAGAAATGAAATCAATACTGTAATAAATAGAAGATTTAAGAGAATTGATAAAAAAATAGGAAGAATACTTACTAGTATTCTAGACAAACTATATAACAAAATTAGAATCAATCAAGTATTAAAATGGAAAGAAGATAAATGCTTATTAATTAGTGAACCAAATGCAGTATTAGAGCAGATGAAAGAACCTTTTAGTAAGTAGTTAAAACAGAGAAACATCATTAAAAATAAAAAAGTAATAAAAGAGTTTTATAAGTCACTTGCAGAAGTCAGAGAAGAGTGATACAAGGAGTTAAAAGCAGAAATAACAATTGAAGAATAAATAGAAGTAATAGAAAAAACTAAAAATAAAACAGCATCAGACATGTCAAATATTGGATACAGACTAATTAAGAGCACAAGTAGTAAAATACAAGAAGTTTTTAAAAAAGTTGTAAATATATATTTGAAGCTAAAAAAGATATCATAAAAGTAGAAGTTAGTACAAATATATCCAATCACAAAGAGTGAGGATTGGATTTACAAGCTTTGTAATGTTAGACCAATTGCACTATTAGAAACATTTAGGAAATGTTTAACCAAGATGGTAGCAAAAAGAATGTCTAGTATAATAAAAGAAAAAAAAATACTCAAGAATTCAAACTTTGCTAGTCTATTTAAAAAATCAATAAAAGAAGCAATTTACATTGTAAAAATGATATGAAAGAAAATAATAAAAAGTTGTAGTTGCTGATATAAGACATGAAGAAAGCATACAATTCAGTATTAATGAAATTACTTTAATTAGCATTACAGAGAATTAAGCTGCCAGTTGAAATAGTAAGATTTGTTATTAAGTTATATAGCAGAAGAGAAGTTGGTATTATAACAGAGTTTGAATTGACAAAGACATTTGTTACTAGAGATGAGATTGAGCAAGAAGAGATGATTTCACTATTAGTCTAGAGGATATTTTATGACCTGTTATTAAGAAGGGTTTAAGATGATCAGCAGTTAGGATATGAAATCAAAATGTATAAAATGCTGGACTTGTAGATGAATAGAGTTAAACTTAAAAAGGCAAGGCAAGCTGTAGTAGCATATGCTAATGATACAATTTGGATAGCAAAAAGTAGAAAAGAGATACAAGAAATCATCTAAATTTCACAAAGGTTTTTTAAATTCAATAATATTCAAATTAATAGTTCTAAGTCAAAATTGTTGGTATTTAATTCAAGTATAAAAAGAGAAAAGAAGTCTGTTTTAATAAATAATTTTCAACTACAGGTTGAAGAGAAGCATACATTAATGAGAATTCTAAGAATATAGTTAAGTATAGAAATAAATAAAAGTTTAGTTATTAAAAAGGTGAAAAGAATCATATAATAGTTTATATGAAGCTTACAATTTAAGAAGTTAACTATTAGTCAGTTAATATATATTAATAATATATATATAATACTAAAATTAATATATATGTTACAAACTACAAAGACATCTAAAATATAATAAAAACCAACTCTTTCTATAAATCATTTATACTAAAACTAAGAAAAAACATTTAATTATTTCTCAATTTTCTACTAAATAAATCTTACTTAACTCCTTAAGTAAAGTTGTTCAACACACTTTTCTTCTCCTAGGCAACTATGTTTTAAGTTTCAAAAACATCTAGCTGTTGAGAAAAGTTTAAAAAATTAAGAATTTGGTTTTTGTTCATTTTTATAAAATTTTACTAATTAAACATATCTTCTTATATATTTAAAAATTGTTTAGCTCATTAAAATAGATATTTTAATATATAATTTATTTAAAACAGACCAAAACTTACAGAGATATAAGCAAAAAATGAAAACAAAAACTTACTCTTTGCAAGTTTTTCATTGACATTTTAAAAAATCTTGTAGTGGTGTCTTGGAAATTTCATTTTTCTGGTACCCATTAGAATTTTTTAAACACCCAATAAGCTTATTTGAAGCTCACACATCTTTCCAAACTCTTCTAACTAGTCTAGAAACTTCTAAATCAAACAAATTTTTTTATAAAACATACTTAAAAATTTATTTTTAGAACAAAATGCTAACCTTAACAACAGTTGCATCTGATACTATTGATCTCAACTATTTTTACCAAAAGTGTCCTAAAAACTTTGGTATTGATATTCTTGAAGATGCAACTAATACATCACACCCCATTTCTGCAAATAAGCAACCAAATAATTGTTCAACTACAGAACTTAGAGAAAGAACAAAAAATTGTTATTATTTTAAAGCATCTAAATCTAATTCTATTATTACATACTTTGATGATAAGTTCCACATTCACTTTATCTCAACTACCAACCAAACTTACAAACAACATGAAATCATTCCTATTAATAAAAAAAACCAAAGATAAAAAATTTTTAGCAAACAATATCACAAACTCTACTGAATTTATAAAAAATGTCTCAAAATCATTTTAAAAACGTACTATTTATCTATCATTTGCAAATTACAGAATTGAAACTGCTTTACTGAAGCATAAGTTAGATCATTTTAAATGAACAATTTTTATTATAAAATTACTATGATACATTTTTTCAATGTAAACCATTTGGTATCTAACACCCCAAACTATGTTTCATGATAAACCGTGAAATAACTATTACAAACCTATCAAGACGAATAAAACATCAGTAAGAGTAACATCAAATTGCCTGCCTCGTTATTAGAAAAGTTTTAAAATACCAAAATTTTGTTATGGAGATTAGTCAATATGAGTTACTTCAAAAACGTTTCTATATAATAACAATTTCAAATCACGCAGTTTTGTACGTATTAACTTTGTTTATTATTACATACATAATAAAAATTATAAATTAATAATAAAATTTTATTGATTAATTTTAGATGGTATCGATCAGAATTACCTTATCGAGATGTTACTAAATAATATATATAACGCAATTAACGTGAGTTATTATCAAAAAAAAAACTTCAAAACTGTTAAACATTACCCCAAGTTCTACGGTCCATGGGACATTGTCCACGGCTGCCTTCCGTTTGAAGCCATCTTAGTAAACAATGCATATGAAACACGTGTGTACATTCACCCCATACTATAAATTATATTAGTACATTTTTAATTATCATGACAAAAATCAATAAATGTAAAAAAAAGCGTCATTCTTAACTGAGTGGACAATCGTCTCCTGGAGTTTTGCAAGTAGGGCAGCAACCGTCAAAGTGAACACGACAAATGCCACAAACTTCTTCATTAGGTACATCCCATCGCCAAACCGCTACACCATTCCAACTGAAGCAAATAGACGATATATAAATGATGTCACTAAAGGCATATTCTTCAGGATTCAATCTAAAATTGAAAAATACCATTTGATTTTTACTTTCATGGCTTATTGCTGAAACGTAAAATGGTCTTTTTGGTGTGAAAATATTCTGAGTTAAATCTATCATCTTGTACTACTATGTGGTGTCATATAGTTGATCAACCAATCAAATTATGTTACAAATTGAAATCTTTAACGCCTTAGTTTTAAGAATTTGGTGCTTATAAAGAGATTGTGCCTATATAGAGGTTAAATTTTATGTGTTATATGATTTATAAGCAAATGTGACTATAGAGGAGGTGACTAGAGAGAGGTCTAACTGTACTCGTTTGCTTTTAAGACAAAATTAAAACGATATTTCTCAGCGCATATTCTAAGTTACGCTGCTTAGACTATGCGCTCTGAGCTGTGCTGCTCAGGCTATGCGCTCAAATTTTTCGCTTCTCGAACAAATGTTGATTATATATCAAAAAACCCCCCATTATTTTAACCATACAGTTACTGAAACGGGGGCTATTCTTCAAGTGATCTGATTGGTTGGCATAATTCATATGTATAGTACTGGACACTCATTTTATTGTTTACATTTTCTACGTATTCAGAATTTAACATTTATTAGCATTAATTCGAGTTAGCTGTTAAAATTAAGAACAGGATTTGTTATTATATTAGGTTAGAAAGAGCACTTGGCTTGTTAACATTAACTCCTATCCCCTCTTCGTGATTTTATCCAATTAGATCGAAAGATCAGGTGAAATCTTTAGGAAATCCCCTATCGATACAAAATCACATATGCACTGATTTTTGGAATTTATATTAGGGATTGTTTTTTTTAAACCAAAATCGGTACAGATTATGGTTATCACATCAATACTAACCAACGTTAATCAAAACTAGGTCAGACATCATATGAATGACAACCTCAATTATTATTATTACGTAGTATCATTTGAATTACCACACATTAAAAGATATTTCTACGTATTAAAAGTAAATATTCAAAAAGCACATATGTAATAACTATATAATATCACGACACAGGATTAGATGTAATAGTATAACTCAAAATTTGGCTTATAACAAAAAAAAAAGTTCCTTGCAAAATCTTGTTATATGCAGTACCCTTCTAACGTCGTCCTAATGGCCAATGAAATTTAGTGCAGATCATCACGGGACTGCGAAGTTTTTATGTGAAATTTAAGTATCGATAATTTAAGCACCACCAATCATTAAGATGAAAAGCGACAAAAGTGCAATAGAACAAACTCATTCAAAGAAAAGACCACATAATTACCTAGATGAAGTCGAAGGGGCTTCGTTTTTTACAAGTTTCGAGAGCGATCAAGATTCTGATGATTCTGGCGATTCTTATAGTTCTAGTTATTCTATAGACGAGGAAAATAATGATTCTCAAACTTCAAATACGAATTCTGGCAGTATTTCGGCTTTATTGATATCTTTGTCAACGCCCGCAATCTCTTCAGATCATTCAAAAGCAAATGACGACACTTGTTCTGTATGCCCTATATGCTTACATAATTTCCAAGATAGGAGCTATCTAGACCCTTGTTATCATTCTTTCTGTGTCTCTTGTATCCACAGGTGGCTGTCCATTTCTCCTAAATGTCCACTCTGCAAAAGTAAAATTGAATTTATAGTTCATGATATTAATGAGTCCAACGGTACATTTCGAAAGTTTTATGTGGGCGATTCTAGAAACTACAATGAAATTCATCGAAAAAAACTAAAACGTAAAAAATGGATTATGGAAATTTCAAATGAACAATTTCATAATGGAAATTCGGAATCCAAAGAACAATTGCTATCTTCTGAAAAAGTAATAGATCGTATAAAAATTTATAATGAAAATCTTTTGGCAAAACATGTACCTCAATGTACAAGACATTCTCATAATCTTAATCATGACCGGATTCGACCTTTTATTTCGCGCGATTTGAAAGCTATCCTTTCAGATACTCATGATCAGATAATTGAAGAATATGTTCAATCAGTAGTAATGTCGTATTATAAACAATTGAGACTTAAAGGTGAGATTATTGAAAAATTGAAGCCATGGTTAGGTGGGTCAACGGAAAAATTCTTAAATGAGACATTCATGTTCGTTGAAAGTTGCTTGAAGATTGATCAGTGGGACAAACTAGTGACGTATGAGTAAATTACAATTGGCATTAAGGACAGTAGATTCTTAATTAGTCGGTGCCTTATTATAAACCTTTTCGATACGTACGTATTCTCCTTAATAATCTAATACTAATTCTTTCTCTAAGTGTAACAATAGTATTCTACCTTCATACAGTCGTATAATCAACCTATCAAAATTGTAAAAAAGGAAAATAAGTAATGCCATTTATACAAGGAATTAATGATACATATAAGCCGGTAGGGTTTCTCTTTGTGGATCATACCAATGCATGCATCGCACTCTCCTATGTATTTATATATCGCAATTTCGATTTGATTAATTTTGTGAAAAAATCTTGAGTTACCAATAAGTAAATTATCATTTATCAGTTAATTGTTATGTTTTAGAATTTGTAAGTTAAATTTGCATATCGTATTTTCGCGCAGGAGTGTAATTTCGAATTTTGACTCCGAACATTACTGACCAATCAGAATAAATGCCCGTGCCTCATAACCTTACCATATGTATACGGATCTCAAAAATCATAAATCCATCCTTGGATACGTATCATTTCATCGACAATCGCTTCGCCGAACACCCCATCGCACAGAGCGATGGTTAATATTTAACGAT